AGTATTGACTTAATTGAAGAATGTTACACGCTTTTCAGAGCTTTTATTTACTTAATGAGTTAGAGTTTTACGGGTAAAAATAAAGGACTTGCTTAAACTATGAGAAACCATAAAAGAAATGCTAATAAACATTAGGGAAGAGATCATGTCAGAAATCAAAGAGAAATTCCACAGTGGCAGAGACTGTGAACAGTGAAAAGGAAAGATGCAAGTGTGCCAGGGAGAGAAAATGCAGTAGGAACTAACCTGATAGAAGTATAGAATGGGAATAATCGACAAAAGGTAATGCATTTTGAAGAACTTCACATTGGAAATATTTGTTATAACTGCTCATTGCATTGAGTTGGACACTGTTCTCGTGCAGCGCATACTTCTCATTCCATCTGATACAAATATGCCTGTCATATTCAGAAGAAGACAGTTTCTCATCTGTTTGGCTTTGTTAATGACCATCTGTAAGTCACAGATCAGAGAAACTAACGAAAAGTAGTGTTTCCATTAGTAAAAGTCAATATTAATGCACTCCTTTTGGGAATAATGAAAAAATGTAGGACTTACAAGTATGGATATATTGGTTGATAATAGTATATGGCAGTGTTTCTTGATCTTGGCTGCATAGATACATTCTCAGTGTTTTTTAAATTTTTTTATTTTAATGATCTTTTAAAACATTGTTTTACCAATTTTATTTTTTATCTTTTTAATAAAGATTTTATTTATTTATTTTTTTCCCCCCAAAGCCCCAGTAGATAGTTGTATGTCATAGCTGCATATGCTTCTAGTTGCTGTATGTGGGACGCGGCCTCAGCATGGCGGGAGAAGCGTGCGCGCCTGGGATCCGAACCCCGGCCGCCAACAGCAGAACGCGTGCACTTAACCGCTAAGCCACAGGGCCGGCCCTGTTTTACCAATTTTAAAGACAATTTGTATTTTACAGTAATAACTTGTAATTGAAAGATATTTATTCAATGTGAATCTAATGTATTTTTTATATTTTTTACTGTGGTAAAATATGCATAACAAAATTTACCATTTTAACCATTTTTAAGTATACAGTTAAGTGAGTGGCATTAAGTACATTCACAGTATTATGTAACCATCACCATTATCTAGTTCCAGAACTTTTTCATCATCCCATGCAGAAATTCCACGTATTAAGCAATAGCTCCCTATTCCTTTCTCCTCCCAGCCACTGGCAACCACTATTTATACGATATAAATTTGACTACTCTAGGTACTTCATATAAGTGAAATCATACAATAGTTGTCCTTTTATGTCTGATATTTTAATTAACATAATGTGTTCAAAGTTCATCTGTATTGTAGCATGTCTCAGAACTTCATTCCTTTTTAAGACCTGATTGTATATACCACATTTTGTTTATCCATTCATCTATTTTTGGACACTTGGATTGTTTCCATTTTTTGGCTATTGTGAATTATGCTGCTATGAACATGGGTATACAAGTATCTGTCTGAATCCCTGTTTTCAGTTCTTTTGAGTATATACTTAGGAGTAGAATTGCTGAGTTGTGTGGTAATTCTATGTTTAAATTTTTGAGGAATCACCAAACTGTTCTCCACAGCAGCTGCACCATTTTACATTCCCACCAGCAATGTACAAGTGTTCCAGTTTCTCCACATCCTCGTCTGCACTTGTAGTTTTCCGTTTGTTTTTTGTTTTTTTTCACTATAGTCATCGTAGTAGATGTGAAATGACATCTCATTGTGGTTTTGTCTTGCATTTCCCTAATGACTAGTGATATTGAGCATTGTGCTTATTGGCCGTCTCTCTGGCTTTGGAGAAATGTCTATTCAAGTCCTTTGTCCACGTTTTTTATTCTAGTTTCATTTTAAGTCATGATTTCTCCAGCTGGGTTCTGTGGACGTATTCTAATGGAAGAGGGTCCCGCTCCCTTGGTTCAGCTTCCTTTTATCTTCTCCAGTAACACTGCCTCATTTTATCTCTCCCACCTGGAGTTTGTAGTTACTTCTTGCTGTCGCTAATCTCTGGATCACTTCATTGTTCCCTGTTTGGCCCTCAAATACTCCATCAGTTATATATCAAATTCTTTGCATTAAATTCTTACTGATATAAATATTTGATATCGTTTCTGTTTTCCTGGACATACCCTAACTGGTACAGAACCTAAACTCCCCCATTTTATAGTTGTGAAATTGTTGACCTTTTATTCTTCCAAGTACATTTTAGAATTAGCTTGGTCATGTTCAAGGAAAAACCTTGCTAGTATTCCTGAAATCCAGGAACTTAAGGAGTTTCTTCAGATTCATGAAGTTAGTAGAAGGCTAGGTATTAGGACTATGATGCCTTGATTCCCAATCTACTTCTCATGCTAACAAATTAAAATTTCCAAGGTAGGGACCTGGGTGATGAACAGAGTGGAAGAGGGGCTTTTTTTTCCTGCTATAAATGGCTTTGTTCCTTTTTATTTTTAACCATGTAAATCTTTTACCTGTTTAGAATAAATAAATTAAAAATTTTTAAAGTAAAGTAAAATTTCTGCCTATATACATTGTGTATAAATTTGGGCCTTTACAAAGTGAGTTTAATTTCTACTAAATGTCGGGCCGGCCCCATGGCTTAGTGGTTAAGTGCGCATACTCCGCTGCTGGCAGCCCAGGTTCAGATCTGGGCGCACACCGACGCACCGCTTCTCCAGCCGCCCTGAGGCCGTGTCCCACATACAGCAACTAGAAGGATGTGCAGCTATGACATACAACTATCTACTGGGGCTTTGGGGGAAAAAATAAATAAATAAATAAAATTATAATTTCTATTAAATGTCATTCTGATTGCTAGTTATTACTGAAAAGTATAAGTTATCAGAAGATGGAAGACCACTAAGCATGCAATTATGCATGAGCTTTTACACACACACACACAATGTAGTTCTATCTAAATAAATCTACATTAATCCCATTTTCTGTTTGCTAGAAAGATCTCTAAACTTTTTTTGGTCACATTTTCCTGTTGGTAAAAAACTTTGAACATATACTCCTATTATATGTATATTTATGTATAATTATAGTAAGTACATGGACCACTGAACTATTATAAAATATTAACAAAAGTTGACATTTATAAAGGACTAGATAAACAAATTAAGAGGAAAAATTCTAAAGCTTTTCTTCCACCTCAATAGATTATCTTGTACATCCCAGGGTGCACCCACCCTGCTTGGACCCTGTTCTAGAGTGTTTCAGTTGAGAACTACTGAAGGATCTCAGTCATTTATTCTGTTGAAGTGCCTACATGTTCACCAAACTTAGTGAAAATATTTAAAATGATCTCTGCCTTTGACTCCCTAACCTGTTTTAAATTCCTTAATTCAAACACAAAATAATAAAACCAGCTTCATAAACCCAGTAGCCTCAATTCTAAACAATTCCTGACAACCATAGTCCTGATGTTCATAACCTCTGAACTTAGGAATTGCATCACTAGTGTACATTAGACTCTTTATCACCAAAGATCTAGTACCCTTGAAACAAAATGGGAGACAGAATGTGTATGGATTTGAGAGGAACCTAAAATATAATGTCCATCACAAAATTGACTATAGTTTCTATCTGACTATGAAAAAAGAAGATAACTCAAAAAGTTGTGATGAGGACAATACAAAATTAAATCTGTTATCTCTAGACTTTTTAGGGTTAGTCCCTTTATGACTGTCTCCTATCTGGGTTCAAACAGTTCAAAACTAGTACTCCTGCCAAAGTTGAAAGGTTTCACGTGAGAGTTTTTCTCTGAGTTATCTGGAACAGTAAGCGAGCCTCTTTGTTCAATCCTTCATGAGTGCCTGCTGTGTGCTGAACACCAGGATGACACAAGTTGAATGAGACGATGACTTTTAAGGTCAATGACATTTAGGAATTAATAATCTGATCATGCAGAAAAGTTCATACTTATGAGCAGAATGATTTCAATTCTAGAAATCACTAGAAATGATTACTCGCTAGGGAAAATAGGAGAAGGCTTCCCAGAGGAAATGCCATTTGATCCGGACGATGAAGATGAATTGTAATTCAGGAAGAAAGGAAGAAGATGAGGGGGAAGGTAAAGATTAAAAAGTAAAGGAGAGAGAAAACTAACAATGAGTACTGAACTACATGCTTTGATATGTATTATCTCATGTAATCCTCAGGAAGGCCTTATGAGATGGCAGTTATGCCTACTTTATGGATGGAGAAACTTGTGGCTCAGGAAAGTTAAGTAACTTGCACAAATCACACATGCAATTATCTGCTGGAGAGTTGAATTAAGGGGTGCATTAGCTAGACAGTTGCTCATGATGAGTGCAGTTTAAGTGGTACTAAAACTTCACTGTGTATTATTTGTAATGATACAGAGGTATTATACTTAACAGAACTATTCTTAGGAAGTATAGTATATATATTGGAAAAATAAAGAATAGATAAGCTATTTGGGGTGCTGATGCGATCGAGATCCCCCAGGTCATGCTGGGATAGCCAGTTGCTAGACTCTTCAAAGGAGGATATTTTCCTGCCTGATGCTTGCACATTTTCCTGTAATGCTCAGGAATAGCAGCCTCTTTAAGTAAATGTTTAACAGATATTTGAGGACTATCAATTGAAAAGGGCCCAAACTAATATTGTACCTAGGTACCCCAGTTGTTCTGAGTAGTTATACAAGGTTCAATCCTGCATCTGCTTAACTCCAAACCCAGTGCTCTTAATGACGTACGATGCTGCCTGCAGCGTGTGACTGAAATGCAGACACACTGACAGACAGATGTAGAGATGAGGAAGAATTAAACGGTGATTCTAATGATTGTGCTACTGGTAGACTTCTTACAGGAGTATCTGATAGTAACCTTATATTTTCTTCAACTTTTTATCATAACTACAAATTTTTCAGGTAGCTAAAATCCTTTAGGGAGCAAGATGAAATAACAATGAGTGAATAGATAGATCTCTACTGTTAAAGAAATCTACCACTATATATTTGTTATCCTCAGGAAATTACTACAATCAAGGAGAGATTCGTAAGAAAGAACTTTTGCAGAGCTGTGATGTTTTGGGGATTCCACCCTCCAGTGTAATGGTTATTGACAACAGGTAATTTATCTTTTAACAACGTAAAAACTTATTGGCAATAAACCTGTAGTTGTACACTCAAAAGACAGAAAACACTAATGTGGGTGGATAAGAACATCTTATTTTGAGAAATCTACTTAAAATAGTTTCACATTTGTTTTGTTTTTTTTTTTTTTTTTATTTCCCCCAAAGCCCCAGTAGATAGTTGTATGCCATAGTTGCACATCCTTCTAGTTGCTGTATGTGGGACGCGGCCTCAGCATGGCCGGAGAAGCGGTGCGTCGGTGCGCACCCGGGATCCGAACCCGGGCCTCCAGCAGCGGAGAGCACGCTCTTAACCGCTAAACCACGGGGCCGGCCCTCACATTTGTTTTTAAATAACTGTAACGCGAATAAATTTTTTCAATTTCTGTTCAGATTTTTTTTTTAAATTTTATTTATTTTTTCCCCAAAGCCCCAGTAGATAGTTGTATGTCATAGCTGCACATCCTTCTAGTTGCTGTATGTGGGACGCGGCCTCAGCATGGCCGGAGAAGCAGTGCGTCGGTGCGCGCCTGGGATCCGAACCCGGGCCGCCAGCAGCGGAGTGCGCGCACTTAACCACTAAGCCACGGGGCCGGCCCTTCTGTTCAGATTTTGTATGTTAAGATAGCTACTTGTCTTTGATCTGTAAAAAAAAATTATTATAAAAAATTTCTAAAATACACAAAAGTATAGAGTATCATGAACCCCCATATGCTTATTACCTAAACTCAATAATTATCAAGCCTTTGTTTATACCTGTTTCATTTATCCCACTTAACATCTTTATGTGCGTGAAGTATTTTAAAGAAAACCCAGCCATCAGGTTATTTCACCCTTACATACTTAGGGATGCATCTCTTAAGAAGAAGGACATTTTCGCATATAGCCACAATGCATTTATCATCACATCTAACAAAATTAATAGTCACAGCAATTCCTTGGTGTCCTCCAACAGCCAGTCCATATTGCAGTTTCTCCAAGTAGCGCAAAAATGTCTTTTTACAGCTGATTTGTTCAAATCAGGATCTAAACAAGGTCCACACGTTATAGTTGGTTTATATTCTACTTTTAATTGTCCCTTCCTCCCTCCCCCACCATGTCATTGAAAAAACTTAGTTATCATGTAGAATGTCATGCATTCTCCATTTGTCTGTCTGCTTCATCATGGTGTTGTCTAAGTTGTTCTTCTATTGCCCATACTTCCTGCAAACTGGAAATTAACTGTAACTTTCGGAGACAAAAATACTGCATAAGCTGTACTATATACTTCATATTGCATCATTCCAGGAGACACATGCTATCTGATTGTCTCACTTACAGTAATTCTACAATTGATCAGTGATGGCAATGGCTGCTCCTTTCATTTTAAAGACCTACATCAACATTTCATGTAGTGTTTTCATGATTGCCTGAATCATTAATTAACTAGAAGTTGCAACATGGTGAATTTCTAAATGTCTCATGTATTCCAAATGTATTAGCTATAATTCTGTAAAGCAGAACTTTCCCTATCAACTGGAACTATTTAATTACCTGACATAAAGTTTGATCCGAAAAGACAGAATAAATGCTTAATTCTTTCCCTTGAATTGCCATTTTCAGAATAAGGAGTTGATGCCTACATACCCCCAGTGGTAATCCGTTGTTTGTTTTTTTCTTGGATGGGGGAGGGCACTTTTGTTATTTCATGAGAATTTATGTGTTTGGTGTTTGTGTTTCAGTCATTATCTTCTTCTTTTTTTTTTTTTTTTTGGTGAGGAGGACCAGCCCTGAGCTAACATCCAATGCCAATCCTCCTCTTTTTTGCTGAGGAAGACTGGGCCTGGGCTAACATCCGTGCCCATCTTCCTCCACTTTATATGGGATGCCACCCACCACAGCATGGCTTGACAAGCGGTGCGTCGGTGTGCGCCCAGGATCCAAACTGGCGAACCCCAGGCCGCCACAGCAGAGCGTGCGCACTTAACCGCTTGTGCCACTGGGCTGGCCCCAGTCATTATGTTCTTTGATACTGCAGTTGTCTCATCTTTGTCCATTGAGCTTCTTCATGTTGGTTCATATGTCTTTTTGATATGACCTCTTTAGTCTTTTTGGATTTCCTTGTTGTCAAGGACAACAAGATTTTCCAGTACCCTCTTGTATGCTTTCCTGCCCCAATCCTGAAATCAGCTATTCCTCCAAGGAGCCTTGGTTTCTCTTAGTAGGCTATGGTGTGTAGAGACCATAACCAGGGTTACTAGAAGTGTTCATTGCTAGGGTGTCATTATTTCTCATTGATACTTGACCTTTATAGTGGACAGAGCTAGTATATATGTACTTTTTAAAGAAAAAAAAATCAAGAATAACAATAATTACAATTCAGAGTTAATATTTCAGGGGTTTTGTTTAATGTCTTTGATTTTTACAATTGAATCTCTTTTTCTCTTACACTGAAAGTCTTGCTTTCTAACAACATGAACATAATTGTTTTCTTCTATAATCTTTTTAAGGATTTCATAAAACATAGATAAAAGAGATTTTTGTTTTATATACTCACAAAAGCAGATATTGAAAACCAAGGCTAAATGTGATCATGATGTCTGCAATTTACTTCAAAATGATTCAGAAAAAAATACATACCTTTATAGATTAAGCCAAAATGGCAAAATATTAATAATTTGAACCTCGGTGAAAGGTCTAAGAGTGTTCATTATACTATTTTAACTTTTCTGTTTGAGAATTTTTGTAATAAAAAAATTTCAAGCACCATACCACATGGCTTTTCTCCTACTACTTTCTGGCATATAAAATATAAAATATATTTTATTGTATTGTTATTGACCTGCCTCTTTAATTTAAAAATATCAGAGATCGTAGGGGCCGGCCCCGTGGCTTAGTGGTTAAGTGAGCGCACTCCGCTACTGGCAGCCCGGGTTCGGATCCCGGGCACGCACCGACGCACCGCTTCTCCGGCCATGCTGAGGCCGCGTCCCACATACAGCAGCTAGAAGGATGTGCAACTCTGACATGCAATTATCTACTGGGGCTTTGGGGAAAAAAAGGAGGAGGATTGGCAATAGACGTTAGCTCAGAGCCAGTCTTCCTCAGCAAAAAGAGGAGGATTAGCATGGATGTTAGCTCAGGGCTGATCTTCCTCACACAAAAAAAATATATATGTCAGAGATCTATATAACGGCAACTGGAGTTTGTGAGGTTATAACCTTTGAGGCTTAAAAAAATCTACTCCTTACCAGCAACATAGCTTTTGGGATTTATTTTAATTTAGTTTGTACTTGCTTCCTTTGTTGAGGTTTTCCTTTTCTATTATTGAGTAATATGCAAGAAGGTGACGATACAACTTAAAACATCATGAAGACACAAGTTCCTTTAAGTATAGGCAAGGAAGAAAAAAACTGATCACCCTAGATAGATATGAAAGGCCAAAGTAGTAATTTCAATTCATTGCTAAGAAACAAAATTTGCTCTGCTGTTTTTACAGGACAGAACTAGAGAAAGAAGTTATATCTTTACTATATTCTGTATCTAGTTATACCATAATTTTCATACACTGTTTGTCCAGGAGCTCAACCCCATTTGAATAGTTTACCAACAAGTAGGTAAACACTACCCAAGTTCTAAGATGACTGATGACCTTATATTCTGCGGCACACAAGGGAAGTCTATGATGAAGATGCGGCTCACTTGTCTAGTAAGTGGTTTCTGTTAGCTGGATTCTAGGTACACAACTAAGGACCAGGGAAGAACTGCCAAGGTAGAGGTTGCCATGTCTCTTCACAAAGAAGGTACCCACTGCCTCACCCACCACTTATTTACTCTTATTTTCTACATCATTCCAGCAAACTTAGTCCCAGTTGGTTTTTGTTTGTTTTTTACTTTAGAAGAGTAGAACAAGTGCATTATTAGATGAAGGAAGGAAGTTACTGGTATAAGAAGACATGGGTGAGTCTAATAAATTACAAATGAGAGCCAGCCCTGATGGTCTAGTGGTTAAAGTTCAGCGCTCTCACCGCTTCAGTGGCCCAGGTTCATTTCCCAGTGGTGGAACCACACCACCTGTCTGTCAGTTGCCATGCTGTGGCAGTGGCTCACATAGAAGAACTAGAAGGACTTACAACTGGGATATACAACTATGCACTGGGGATTTGGGGAGAAAAAAAAAAGAGGAAGATTGGCAGATTGGCAACAGATGTTAGCTCAGGTCGAATCTTTCCCTGCAAAAAAAAATTACAAATGAGTGCTGGATCTGCTGGGATCCATTTAGGTGGCTTCAACAGTAAGATTTGTCCTCTCACATATAAAGTCATCTAGAATCAAGATGTTTCCAGGGTGGCTCAACAACATCATCAAAAACCCAAGTCCTTTCCTTCTTTCTATGCAACTGCTTTTTAATCATGTCGACATGCTTCCCCTGAAGGTTACAAGGTGATTGCAACAGTTCCAGATGTCATATGCAGATACAACTGTGTCCTACCGAGAAGGAGAGTATTTTTCTTCTGCATGTCTATTTATATTATGGAGAAAAACCAGAAGTCCCCAGCAGACTTTCTCTCAGGTCTCCTGCCCTGCATGGCTCACTTCCTCTACCACCTTCCCAACCACTGTAGTAGCTACTAGTTACTGGGAAAGCCAGTATCTAGTGTTTTCAGCAGAAGAGTGCTAGGAATGGCTATGGTAGGAAAAAAATGCTTATTTTGTCTTGCTGTCTTGCAAAGGTTGTATGCTTTATACCCCACATACACTTGTATTTTTTTGTTCAGTTAGGTTAGTGAGGGCCTATGAGATTGGCCTAGGCTGGGGCCTAGGTATAGAACTTCTTAGGATGCAGAGCAAGGAGGTGTATTTCAAGTGTCAAATCACAGCAAAGAACAAAAGATAGGTTAAGCAGAGGTAAACAAAGGAAAACAGACCAGAAAGACAGAATAAGTTCTGTGGGTAGCACCTGGAAAACGGCCTAGCACCTTAAAAAGATCCACAGCAGAACCTGGGAATGGGAAGGA